TATATTATATATAATATAAATTTGGCGGAGATCACTTGTAATATATTACTAGTGTTGAACTGTGTTGGGCCTGCGAATATGAAGAATACATCCAATACATTAATTGAGTTTGAGACAACCATTGCTTTAAAAAAAACGCCGCCATCTCAGCTCAGCTTCCTCACTGTTTATGATATATTTCGATTTATTATTTCCTCAGCAGTTTGCATAGAGTTTAGCAAAGGAAGCCATCTTCACTCATAGAAGATCTCTAACACACCCTCATCATGGAGCTTGAAGAAGTCAGTCCAGTTGGTGAGTCAGTTGTCCCTCTGTGTACAATTTTTGCCAGTTTTTCTTGTGTGGTTTGATTTCATATTAGATCTACTTAATTTTCCTTTTCTTAAAAATGTTTTTTTTTTTTCATTAAAAAAAAGGCCGTCGTTATTCGGACTCGAGTCCGAATAACATTTTTTCATATTCGGACTCGAGTCCGAATAAAAAAAATTCTTATTCGGACTCGAGTCCGAATATGAAAAAATGTTATTTGGACTCGGGTCCGGAAAAAAGGAAGTGTCTTCGTTCTATAGATCTAACGTTCAGTGCTTCCAATTTTCCGCCATTTTTTAGTTTCCCCCACACCTTATCTGCCGATCCAATGCCCGCCGCCTCATTGATACCCCCCCCACGTTTCCCACTTTCTTTGTTGTAGAAAAAGGTAAACTTGAAGATTAGCAGACCACCTGGCATATTATGAGCTGTGTAAAAAAAAAAAAAGACCGATTCGTTCAAATACACAAGCCTGTGTCATATCGATTGTTTACCAAGAAAAAGTTGTGTTGCTGTGTAGAGCTGAGCATACAGCAACTTTTGATTCCATAGACCAGCGCACAATTCATTACGTAGATCTACGTCAAGACTAGCTTATTATTGTAATAATGATCAGTTGCCAGGGGGAAAAAGACCGACGCTTATGCGACGTTCAAAGCCCGGACCGATAGTGCCCCCCACCACCCTCCCCGACACGCACACAGCCACACGTGTGCAGGCCGCCCATCCGACCCTGACACACATGCTAACGAGCCATCTTTAAAATTGCTTCTGATGACCTCTTGATAAATAAACATTTATTAGAAGCACTATAACTTTTCAGGCCGGCCTCAAATTCATCATAAGATTAAAACTCGGCTCATGCACAAAACGCCTTTTTGCCCAAAGTGATCCCGGTCTCTACCCAGCCTGAGACGAGTCACGAGTGAGGCAGGACAGGAAGCCGGATTCACGAGTCACAGGAAGTCGGAAGTGATGTCATGCTGGACAAGAATCAGAGTCGGAATAACATTTTTTCATATTCGGACTCGAGTCCGAATAATCACTTCATAAAAAAAATTAGTTAAAGATTAATTAATTTTTTAAAAAAATAAAAAACACACACACACACACATATATATATATATCGTCGGCCTTGTGATAAAACCGGCTAACCCCAGCGAGGTAAATTTTACAGGAGAAGGAAAAAACTGTTTTATTTCAAAACAAAGGCGTCTAGCAATAAATCAATGCTTTAAACACCTATAAAAACACTTTACCAAAAAACTGTAGACCTTTTTTTCCTTTAAAAATCGCTTTTAACGAAACTGCGTGGGTTAGACGGTTATGTCGCTCAAATTTTCCCCGATAAAACCGACCAACCCTCAATTTTGTGGGTTGGCCGGTTTTATCAGGAAGCCACTGCTGGCCTCGAGTTTCGTTGAGTGCAGCCAAGCCACACTTGACTGTAACGTACTTGATCAGTTCTTGCAATCGTCGTCATCTTTTGTAGAAGAAGAAGAAGAAGGAGAAGGATAAGGAGGAGGAGGATAAGGAGGAGGGAAGGGGGAGGAGGAGGAGAAGGGAGGAGGAGGGAAAGGAGGAGGAGGAGGAGGGAAATGGGAGGAGGAGGAGAAGGGAGGAGAAGGGAGGAGGAGGGAAAGGAGGAGGAGGAGAAGGGAAGGGAGGAGGAGGGAAAGGAGGAGGAGGAGGAGGGAAGGGGGAGGAGGAGGAGAAGGGAGGAGGAGGGAAAGGAGGAGGAGGAGGAGGATTAGGAGAAGGAGGAGAAGGAGGAGGAGTAGGAGGAGAAGGAGAAGAGAGAAGGAGAAGGGAGAAGGAGAAGGGAGGAGGATAAGGAGAAGGGAGGGGGAGGATGAGGGAAAGGAGGAGGAGGCAAAGGAGGAGGAGGAGGAGGAGAAGGAGAAGGAGGAGGAGGGAAAGGAGGAGGAGGAAAAGGAGGAGGAGGGAGGAGGGAAAGGAGGAGGAGGATAAGGAGAAAGGAGGAGGAGAAGGAGGAGGAGGGAAATGAGGGGGAGGAGAAGGAGAAGGGGGAGGAGGATAAGGAGAAGGGAGGGGGAGGATGAGGGAAAGGAGGAGGAGGCAAAGGAGGAGGAGGAGGAGGAGAAGGAGAAGGAGGAGGAGGGAAAGGAGGAGGATGAAAAGGAGGAGGAGGGAGGAGGGAAAGGAGGAGGAGGATAAGGAGAAAGGAGGAGGAGAAGGAGGAGGAGGGAAATGAGGGGGAGGAGAAGGAGAAGGGGGAGGAGGATAAGTAGAAGGGAGGGGGAGGATGAGGGAAAGGAGGAGGAGGAGAAGGAGAAGGGGGAGGAGGGAAAGGAGGAGGAGGATAAGGAGAAGATAAGAGGATAAGGAGAAGGGATGAGGATAAGGAGAAGGGAGGGGGAGGATGAGGGAAAGGAGGAGAAGGAGAAGGAGGAGGAGGGAAAGGAGGAGGAGGATAAGGAGAAAGGAGGAGGAGGAGTAGGAAGGAAGAGGAGGAGAACGATATTACTGCTACCAACATACTATTAGCTGCTGTTATTTCAGTGCTACGGAGTCAATTCTGGCAAAAACAGCAGTCACAAATTGGAACATTTAATAGAAGTAGAAGAAGCAGATTTCAGCAATAGGTATATTAATTACATTTGAAGTAGAAGAACAGGAGGTTGGTAGGGTAAAGGAGAGCAGCTACAGCAATAACAACAAAAACAACAACTACAACAAGAACAAACAACAGTAGCAGCAGCAGCAGCAGCAGCAGTAGCAGCAGCAGCAGCAGCAGCAGCAGCAGCAGCAGCAGTAGTAGCAGCAGCAGCAGGCCTTTAGAATTTATGACAGTGTCTGACACGGTACTATTGGCTCTGGGCGGCCTTTCAAATGCCTGGAAAAAAGTAATACTAAGAAAGAAAAGAAAGCAGAAAGCCACACAGAAGCTCTGCTCCCTCAGCAATGGTTTGAGTGAAGTTGGCTTCATAATAATATATTATTATTATTATTATTATGCAAAAAGAATTTGTAAGTATCAAAGAATGCGCCAACTTTCTTCAAGGTGCGTGGCTTGACAACTACTACTTTATTGAGTTTTCTCAACAATAGAAGAGCATGCCTGTCTCACTCTGTGTCCTGTGGCTACAACAAGGCAATGCGACAAAAGTTACCATTGTTTTGAAAGACTCAACAATAATCGAATTTGACTTGATGGCTTTCAAAACTTCTTATCGAGGCAAAGTTTCATGGTAATTGTGGTAGCATCGTGGTACGACGGCCTTCAACTCCTGTAGGTGTTTATACTGTTTGGCAGTTATCTTCAATCTGTCTTTGCAGAGAGGTCCAGCAGTAACCGTCGTACATTGGGTGTTCAGCTTTCTTGGTCCTTGCAGCGCCTGCCATCCATCATCAAAGTTCAGCTTGTACTGAATTGTAAAGTATGGAGTGTACTTTGATGCCTGCAAGTCAGTGACAGTAGGATCGCCTGCTTTTCTCCCTGGACGGATTGTTTAGTGCTCTCCGACCTTTGCAAAATCTTTGAAAAAGCTGTGGCCCAGGTACACAACTTCAAAGAGCTTGGGGATGCGTCTGGCTTGGAGCATGATGTTCACGTAGTCCATTGGGATGTACATCAGTGCGTTTTAGAGCCATCGTTCAATAGTGTCATGGACTGAATCCACA